TGGTTCTATGATTCTGTGATTTCTATCACCATACATTGACATGGCACTGCCAAAAATGCAGCCTCCTAGTTAATTAACTGGAAGCAGAGGAACATTTTCCTTTCCTTTCCTTTTAATGAGTCACTCCCATTTTCCTGTGTATGAATCTTTTTTTTCCCCCAGAAACAAAAGAAGGAAACAGTTCAAACTCAAAGTGATGGGTGGGGGAGGGAGGAGTGCAAATAACATCCTGAGACAATACTGTGGTCATGTGAAGTCCATCCTAAGGAATGCAAGTGGTGGAAAGAGGGAGTCCTCTAATTCCAAGAACTTCAGAGAGGCACACACAAAACTGTTTGACAAGGGCAAATTACTCCATCAAGAGCTCCATGTGTCAGACAATGAGACTCTCCATGGTGAGCTGCATGATGGTATGAGCTCCAGAGTCTTTCCAGTGTTTGTGAAAATAGCTGAATTTTCAGCACTGCAGGAAAGACTAAGCAATTCAGGCAGAACATAACTTGGATTAGATGGTAATTTATTCATGCAACTGTCAGCATAATAAGGAGCTTGGTGGAATGTCTGTTAGGGATGTCTATAATTTTTCCTTTTGCCTCCTTCCCCTGGACACATGTATCATTTTTACTCTCTGATGCAGCAACAGGAATCAGCTCTGGCCATAACCTGGCAAACAGAGAACTGGAGATTCTTTGTCCACAAGATCATGGTTTCTCATCTCCTTTAAAAGAATTTTCTTCAGAAGATTAATAGAGAAATGTACTGCAGTCTGCTCTGCTCTGCAGAAATGGTAATTGCATAACTGTCAATTACAAATACAGAGTCCCATGATGTTCAATGCTGTCCAGAACAAACTAAATCTTCATGTGTTTTTATTTTCATGGAATCCCTTTTTTTACCTATAAAAGGAGAATATTCTTAGTGTGATGTGATGCAACACCAAAATCGGATGCCTGTAGAGAAGTGGCCAATGTTTTGGAAAGCCAGGCAGCAAACTGCATGTGCTGGCTTGGGATGTTAGCTGGTACTGGCTGACCATACTGGAGAGGTGGCAGGACTAGTTGGTTTTGAGCCAACAACCACATAACATCGCTCTAGCTGTTCTTGCTCAACAACTGGTTCACTGATGCTCCTTGTGTTAGTCATTCCTTCCATTTCTTAAGTCATGTGCCAGGACTGCATTTTTAGGTAACCTAGACTATCCTAAAAAACCTGGTGCAGACTTCATTGGAGATCTCAGATGAGATTATGAGGCAGGGTTAAACATCTGTTTAATTACATTCTTTCATAAAATCCTGTTATGTGGTTCAAATTACTGCTCTGCTGATGCCAGGATTTTTCACATGATTCCTGCATCTAGTTTAAGAGCCTGTGATTGAAACAACCTTTCTTAACAAGATATCCAACCTCAGGTTGACATCTTGCTCTTGCATAAAACGTTCCAGCAGTTACAGAGACCCTGTTCATGACCTCAGGAGTCCAGGCAGAGTTGTTACTCTAGCAAATAAAATGTAGCTTCCACTATTTCTCAGCCCAGCTCCCTGGTTAATTCACAGCTATACTGCACGGAAATAGTCCAGAGTTAATAGCCTGGAAAAAAACAGGTAAATGGCTGGGTAATGTGTGCAGACAAAGCAGGTCACTGCCTTTCCAGGACTGTGCTGAGGAATTTGCGCTTCTTACTAGAGCCTTGCTTCCAGCAGGGAAGTGGCAGTGAGACATTCCCCGAGCTGCTCACCTCTCTGACTCAAACTCTGTCTGCTCCTCAAACAGCACAATGTGGCGCTTCAGTCTCTGCCTTCGCACGTCACTGGTTGGGTTCCAGAGCATTTCTGTGGTCCCATTTTTCGACTCACTTATATGCACTTCCCCATCCTGAGAAAATTAAGTGAAAAGGTTAATGACAAACAGGAAACACAAGGCAGAAAATAATCCTGACAAACGGAAGCTACTTCTGGATGATGATCAGGTATACAGCTTGGTTAGAAGGCTTCTTTCCTCTTCTATCCCATAAAATCTCACTGAACTTTTCCTGAAAGTTTCTAAAATAAATGAGGCAAGGTATTCCCAGAAACACTGGCTGAATTAATCAGAGAATAACTAGAAAGGGACCTGGTCTCTTCTGTTAGCTTGTCCCCAGATATGGGTGCCCACAGAAGCCCTAAGATGCTCTTCCTTCCCCATTGTTCCTCCCAGCTGCCCCCAGCATACATAAAAAAGATCCCTAGCTCCTTTTCCAGTATTTCTTTTATTCCTCAATGCTGAAATCTCACACAGAACCTACTGAAATACCATCCTCCCTAGAAAGGAGAGCTGTAGCTGCGATACTCATTCTTGTTTTCCAGTTCAGCCAGGTTTTCCTAATATACTCCTGAATTTCATTTAGCCCTTCAAAATACTAGGGGTCTTCAATCCTTACTCCTTGCAAATTTACATGGCAACTAGCTACTACACAGCATTTCTCTGATCTGAGGCAGGCTAGACAATACTGCTGTGTCCCTGCTTAACTAAGCTGTTTCCCAGCCCTGCTCACAGATGCAGCAATGCCACAGAGCCAGACAGGGGAGTTCACAGAGTGAACAGCCTGATGCTGGCTGTGAGTGGAATGAATCAGACAGTTACAGCTGTTGAACAGTGCATTGGTGCTGTTCAGCTACCTGGACATGTTGTGAGTATCAGGCAAACCTTATTTAGGTCATGACTATTGGCTTTGCCTGTAGCTGCCTTATTTCTTTGCATCATATCTGCTGTGTTTCTCCCCTGCCCTCTTAGAATCATAGAATCATCAAGGTTGGAAGAGACCTTTAAGATCATCAAGTCCAACCATTCACCTAGCACTACCACTCTAACCCCTAAACCACTAAACCACATCACCCAGCACCAGATCCAGCTGCCTCCTAAACACCTCCAGGGACAGTGACTCTACCACCTCCCTGGGCAACCTATTCCAATGCCTGACCACCCTAATGCAGAGGGTTCCCTGATACATGTCTCAAAGTCCTCTTCGAACATCTTCAACTGTGAAACGTCTGCAACTATAATGATGATGTAGATGTCCAAATGTAGCCAAGAGAAACACCTAAGTGTCCAGCTCAAAGCCAGGGCTCAGTGCTTTTGCCTCAGTTACCAGGAGTTCAGATCAAAATTAGACTACATTCTTCACCATGCAACTTTATTCTTGCTGGATTTTGGCTTGAGGGCGACTCTGAGGTATCACTTGTGTATACCAGGTGCACAAAGGTGCTAGCTGCTCTGCTGAGTGTTCTGAGCTGCCAATACAGATAGACCTTCACCGAATCTGTCTCTGTCCCTAGCTCATCAACAAGGGAATAACCATCTTCTATCACAAAAGTTTGCTGTGAAAATAATGAATTCAAAACCCTGTGAAGTTTTTCCCTGATACTGATGTAGCTGGGGAAGTATTGAACACACCAAGACAAAAGAAGCCTCATGATCTTCACAATCACATCTAATACACACTATATCTCCTGCCATTGGTGCTTGTCCTAAGCCCAGGACCTTAAATACAGAACCACTGGTTTAGCTGGGAACCCTCCTCACTGTTCCCAGCTTTGGCCCAGGCTCTAGAGTGCAAGTGTTACTCACACTGCAAGTGGATGAGACTACTGAAGTGTGAATGACCTTGAGAAGTACCTTGAGAGGTGTGGCCTGGAAAGCTCTGCTGCCTGCACCCCTGGGGCTGGCGGGAAGGACACAGCACCTGCTCCAAGGCAGGAGTGTGCCAAGGGCTACCAGTCCTCCCACACACCCTGTGCTAGGCCACACACAACCTGTCAGCAACTTCCATTATCATATGTTACCCAGTGTCCATTGAGACTTGCTAGCACTTCTTCTCCCGATTTAATCTTCCCAGAGATTTGATTAATGCTTGTGCTGCCACCGAAGAAGGGCTGTCCGGGGAAAATAGAAATAGAAAGTATCATCAGTTTAGTGAGAACTGGAAGGGAACCAAACACAGTGATGCAGCAGGAGGGAAGGAAAGTGCAAAATGCTTGACTTCAACTACTTCTGGGGAAAGGCAGAGTGAATTCTAACAAGGATTTTGACTGTTGGACATTCTGCCCTCATCCTTTTGCTTGCAATACTAAAATCACTGCAGCTGCAGGAAGGGAGATAAACCTTCAGGTACATTAATATTCAGCACAGCAAGGCCTCACCTTCATTGCAAATACATCTATTGTCAGCTAGACATCAGGATAAGTGTATGTGAGCATTGTCCTGAATTGCATTACAGTTTGCATGCTTATACTTGCAGCCTTGTCCAAAGATCAGATGCAGCACTAATGGTGACTTTTCCTGCTCATGAGACAGCAACAGCAGTGTGGCACTGCTGATGGCTGCATCTGTGTCAAGTCTCCAGTGTGAAGAAACTCTTGTCAGCAGCAAACAAAAAAAGAAAAAGGGTATTTCCAGAGTCAAGGAAAAGATTCTCAGAACAGTGGAAAATTCCCCTCAGCTCCTGTCTGCCAAATACAGGAAATAGCAGTGATAAGAGTGACCAGCTCTTCCATTCATACTACACAACATTTCTTCAGGCATTTTAGTAGCTACTTTCCAATAACATTTGTGCAGAGCAACTTTTATTTTTGTTAACAACAATATAAAACCAAATTTCACACAACACCCATGGAATAAGAAATCACAAGTATCTCAAGAATCAGTCTATGCAATCCAGCAGAGAACTGGTACATATCCAAACTAATAACAAAGTTATGAGGTTTATCTTTAACTTCTCACAGTTCTACTGAAAAAAAGATGGCTAAGAAATACTCAAAGCAGAGCATGTAAATAAGCCACAAGGTCCTTTCTGAGTCATGTTTGGACAAAGCTTATTGTTTTCAAGCCAGAAAAGAAGGGTCTGCATTTTAAGCTCTTAAGTGTTGGTAGGTTTGAGATGACACTGACCAAAGTCAGGGAAATATTCCATTGGCCTCAACACAGTACACCAGGCCTAAGTGAAGAACAGGCTTAAAGCAAGTATGTGCAAATGTCAAAGAAGAACACAGGGCAACAGTTCCCTTTGTGAGGGCAAATAAAGACAAAATTATTGCTGCCCTTGAAAAAACATGCAGCTTGCAAAAGACTTCCCTAACTCAAACGATCTCTCACATTTATGTTGGCTAGGGCTGCAATTCTGAAGTCCTGCAGGCTCCCAGTTCCCCATCTTTTATTTCATGATCAGGCAAGAAATTGTTTGTTGGAGCACAAGAGAAACGGATGCCCTTTAAAAAGCAAGTTAACTGCCCATGAAAAGTTACACATTATCAATTTCCTTCCCAAATTTTAACACATGTAATAACAGGAATGCTCAAAGATGCCTGCATACCATAAATTTGCATCACCAGACTTTCTAGGGGAGGGACTAGCCACATGAACAAGTCAGTGCAAGGCTTGTCAGTGTGACAACCACTCAAAATTATCTGTCTGAAAATGGATTCTTACCCTACCATCAAGGCAAGGTCCTGTAGCCTTGAGAAACACAAGGTACAGCTCACTGTAATATCTGCAAGGTAAGAGTATGTATGTGATGGCTACCAGAGAGCTACACCAAAGAGCCACATCCTAACCTGCCTCAAAGTAGTTTGCACATCTTGCTGTATTTTGCAAGCAAAAATCATTATTCTTGCCTAAACAGGAGCCGCACTGTCATTGCTAAACTTTCAGAACAGTTTGGCCAGTAACCAGCTGGCTGGCAGTGAACAAGTCACGAGTAATCTCAGGTTTCCTAGGTTCAAATCAAGTTGCACAACTCACTGGAGGGTGATGCCTCCTCTCCAGGCAGGCTCCCCTGTGGTGCACACATACATTGCTGGAATAGAAGCAATATGGTGTGTATGGTCAAACCTTTCCTGGGGCACAGAGGCAAGCCTGATACCCATTCAAGGTGGGGTCCATGATGTTTCTTACCTTTAGCTTGAATTCCAGTTCTGCCCTGTGGTTAGTTTTCTCACAGTCAATGGTAACTTTTCCTCCAAGCTCCATTGTCATAGTACCATATAAAAGTCCTGAAAAGGAAAAAAGAGGAGCTTAAGAGAAGTCCCAATGGAAGCAATCTGCTTTCTCGATTCAACCTGGCTCTCACTCATGTACTATGAAATTTGCAACTTAGCTTAAAGTTTTGAAAAGACAGAATCTAAATTTTCTAGGATATGGCTCTTTACTATAAGCATGAAGAATCCTCCCGAGTCCATATTCCACATTTATTATACCGGCTAGGAAACAGCTTTTCTCATAGGTGCTGATAGTGCATTTGTGGCAATCTGGAAGTGGAAAAGGAAAAATAAGTCGTGCCCAGCAATTTCATTTATACTAGTGCTTAAACATATCCAGGAGCTTCTCACAGAG